GGGACCCCTCAGAGCCGGGAGAGATTGGGGTCCCCTCTGAGCTGGGAGAGATTGGGGACCCATCTGAGCCATGAGGGACCGGCGTCTCCTCAGAGCCATTAGGGACCGGGATCCCCTCAGAGCCAGGACGGATTGGGGTCCCCTCTGAGCCAGGAGGGACCGGGGATCCTCTCAGAGCCAGGAGGGATTGGGGTCCCCTCAGAGCCAGGAGGGACCGGGGATCCTCTCAGAGCCGTGAGGGACCAGGAGCCCTCTTAGAGCCATGAGAGATCAGGGTCTCCTCAGAGCCGGGAGGGACCAGGGACCCTCTCAGAGCCAGGAGGGATTGGGGTCCTCTCTGAGCTGGGAGAGATCGGGGACCCATCTGAGCCATGAGGGACCGGGGTCTCCTCAGAGCCATTAGGGACCGGGGACCCCTCAGAGCCGTGAGGGCTTGGGGTCTTCTCAGAGCCATGGGGACTCAGGATCCCCTCAGAGCTGTGAGGGTGCAGGATCCCCTCTGTGCCCGGGTAGTCCTGCCCTGGCCCGCCATGCCAGGGCGCAGCGCAGGGTCTCTGTGGTCCATCTCAGCATGGTTCCAGGTGCCACCATGGCCCCGGGATGGGGTGATGAGACAGTGCGGTGCAGCCTGGCCCTCGGCTGTGGTTCACAGGATGCCACCTGTGAGGCCTTGCTCCTGCTCTGCCAACTTGCTGAGGGGGACCTCCCTGGGGAGGTAGCCCTCCTAATGGTCCCATTAGGATGAGAGGAAATGGGCTTAAGCTGCGCCAGGGGAGGCTTAGGTTGGAAATTAGGAAAAATTTCTTTACGGAAAGGGTGGTCAAGAATTGGAACGGGCTGCCCAGAGAGGTGGGGGAGTCCTCATCCCTGGAAGTGTTCAAAAAACGGGCAGAGGTGGCACTTGGGGACATGGTTTAGTCTGGTCTACCCTTGATTGGCTTAGAGTAGACTTGGTAGTGTAGGTTAATGGTTGGACTGGATGATCTTAAAGGGCTTTTCCAACCTAAACGATTCTATGATTCTATGATTCTATCTGCAGTTGCAGCAGCCCCTCGGCTCTCCTGGTCTGCACAAGCATCAGGAGAAGCTCATGTCTTAGGTACGTTGCATAAACGAGCACAAAGCTGAAGTGGTTGGAAGCATTTATTGGATCTTGTGCACAGGGTACACCCACAACAGGGGAATTCAGCAAATTCAGGTCTTCCAGAAGCATCCGGGATCTCCACTGCAGGCATCCCCACAGAGGCACCTTCAGCTGGGTGACACCCTCAGGTCACTGCGTGACCGACGGTCTACTTGGAATCACCACCTCACCTTATCATCCTAATTTAGTAAGTTTGCTAAACTGTCTGGCCATCAACCATGCCGAACAGGACCTCCATTACCGTAAGAGGCGATAAAAACTGCAAAGTGCAAAGTTCACTTGCTAACATTACCTACATGGCTGATGTGCTTTGCTACAGGTAGGTCTCAGGATGGTGCTGAGTTCTCTCAGCTCTTTGTAGCCTCCTCCGGTAGCAGGAATCAGGTGTTTGACCTCCAGTACAGTGAACTGCTCTTACCTGCCTTCTTTAAACCTTGCCTGGGTGTCCCACCCCATGGCGAAGAGGACCTGCTTCTGGGCCAGGGGAGGCTGGTGGCCTCATACTCCTCCCGGGGACATTCAGCTGAGCTATGCTGGGCCCCTCAGCTCGGCACAAGTTGTGTGCACTGCGGGGCTGTGCTGAGGGTGGCTGGAGCAGAAGACTTCCCCTCCAGTGTTTGGAAAGGACCAGGCCCATCCCGGGAAGGGACAGAAAGAGGCTTAAGAACCTGACAACAGCGCTAGGTGACACCTATTGTGACATGCGCGTGGTTCTGGTCCTCTTGGTGAGGGACAGACCTGCACGGAGAGCCAGGCCACCGGAGGATGGTAGGGCTCCTCTGTACTTAGATGCATTCTTCTCATCTTGCATTTAATTGCTACGTAAGGAGCTGGATGCGGGAGAGCCAGCGTACCTCTCCGAAATGCAGGGTTCCATGGGATGCAAAGAATTCCAACCTCTACGTGGTAAGACACAGAGAGGCGTTTATAAACAAAAACCTGAAGTCGTAAAGCAATAAAAAAATTGGAGTTGCTCTAACAACAGCAAGCACTTGCAAAATGAACAAACAAAAGCTTGAGCTGCTTTTAAGCAAAAGTTTGCATTTGCTGGAACTTGAGAATACAGTAAGACGTTGCTATCCTGGGTGCACCTGGGTCAGGGTTTTTTTTTTTTTTTTTTCTCGTTTTTTCTGTGCATGTCTTTGCTTTCTTTTATGAAGAATATCTCAGCCTAGACATCTGGCTTTGCAGTGGCGGCCGCTGTCCTACTCCAGCCTAAGCTATAGCAGCCCAAGTAACAGAAGGTCAGAAAAAAGTTGCACGCTGAGAAGCGTTACCCAAGGATGATAAAAGCTCAGCGCTTGTTCGTGGAAGGTGCGGAGACTTCACGATCCATCTCAGGGTGGGTGTAGGAGAACTTGCATTCCCAAAATACTCCCTCCCTCCCCATCACCACATCTTCTCTTGCCTTCCCCTGTAGCTTCTGCTCTTTCCTGTAAGCATCACTCTATGTGCGAGGGGAGGATTTCTCTTCTTCCTCTTGGTCTTGGAAGAGCAACACATTTCTATGTCACTTGACATTTCTGCTTGGATTCAGGGTTGAATTTTTGCAATTTAAGCAGCACTAATCTCAGAATAGCTCTGTGATTTGTTATAAATATACATATTTGTCTCTGAAATACAGGGGAGCTGGGCTAGAATATGGAAACTGTGACTCACTGTGCAAAATACTGCTTCGTCTGTATTATCAAAGGCAGCATCAAGAGGTGATGAAATAGGAGCACATCAAGTGCTCAGACAGCGGTTAACATATGAAGTCTTCCAGTAAAAATAGGAGTACTGTTGAGATGGCATAGCCCTCCCCAGCTCACACTTCTAAAACGCCCATCTTTTCACTACCTGAACATTGATTCTTTTACGGTTGCAGCTACAGAGACACCTCTCAGATGTGAACACAACAGCTTCTTCATTTTTTCTTTAATGTTTGAAACTAAAAAGTCTAATAATAATAATGAAGCGGTAGGAGGTCAGCATTAGAACATACGCGACAATAGTGCAACTGGGAGGAGAGATGGCAACGTGGCAGGACTTTGATGTTTCTTGTTATTGTCCTTTTGTAAGATGCAGAAAGAGCCCAGAAAAGGCACCTGAAGTTGGTTGTTGGTAGAATAACCAACGAGCACTGCTGAAGTGATCCTAAGGTTCAAGATGTTCTGGTCACAGGGGAATGCAGCAGCATCTTTATCCCAGAACACATCCTGCTCTTCCTAGACTCAACGACTGTGCTAAACTGATAACAACTGCAACGCTGTGGTTGCTGAAAACTTTTTGCTGGCAGCAGGATCGATGTGATCTCCCTGCAGGATGAGAATTGTATAGTGAGCTTATTTACATCCTATTTTTAGATGCTCTTACCATTCACGGCCTGTTCGGGTCTCAGATACACACATGGAAAACAATGCTCCTGCTCAGGTTCCACTGCAATATTAAAAACCCAATGAAACCCACTCCATTCTTTTTCCAATTCAAGGTAGACTTTTGTCTCCCCATCAGTAAGGTACGATACTACAAACTGGCATTGACCAGCAGGTAAAATGATTTTAAAAAAAAGAAAAAAAAAATGAAGCATTTAGAACTTTGCAGCTTTAATCCACTCAAGTTTAATGTTATCTTTATTAAAAATCAATTATCTACTGCTGCAAATTTAACTGGCATTTTACAGATAGAAACAAGTTCCCTGCCCCGAAGGCTCACAGTCTAAGTGATAAAAGTGTAAAACATAAACAAGCAGTTTAACCGGACTCAGTAGGAAACCACTGGAGAACTGATTAATTTACCTGCTTATCGGACAAGACCCAAACTGCTTGTCTGGGTGTCACATGCCCCGTACTGCTAACTGCCAAGAGACTCTCCTTCGGCACGTCAAACAGCGGAGAAAAACCGGTCCGTGTGCACTGCTTGATAGTAGCAAGTGGCCACCGAACCCCGAGAAGTGACAAAACACGACACCCTCTGTCCTGACAGATTTCTTATTTGGAAGGTAAATGGAGACGTGCACAGAGAGGGGCTCATCACACGCAGACCTACTCAGACACGTCAGGAACTGTGAAATCAAAAACCTCAGCAGCACTGGGACGAGAAAAGGCAGCAGTTAGTCACCAGGCAAACACCTGCAGTGGTTGAAGGTGCTTCGGCACGCGTGGCTCTGCGCCAGCTCCCACAGCACGGGTTCAGAGCGGGTTCACACAGGCTCGCCCCAATCCGCCCTTGGGCAAGAATCAAATGAGCTTCAACAGCCCAGAGCTCTGAGCTGGCCTCGCTGGCTGGGCCGAAGCAAACGCAGGAGCGCCTCTGTCTCACACTGCCGGCAGGAGAATGAACAGAAAGGACCTGGAAAGAGACTTCATGCCTTGGCCAAAGGAGTTTCCAGACTAAAACATCTGCCAGAGCAGCCAGCTGGAGCCAGAGGAGCATCTCTGTCTCTCAGGGGATGAGCCAGCCACCTGCACCCTCCCCTTGGCAGCCACTTTGGGACCAGGAAGCGACAGAGGGGTTTCTAAAGGCCAATTAGTGATGAGGAAAACAAGCAGCAGGTTTAAAACAGCTCAGGCAGCAACGCCGGCCCTGAAGTTGCACTACGTATCTGGGCAATTTGCTAAACACATTTCAGATGCTGGAAATTTTTTCTTAATGGTTTGGGATATGATGAAAGCTGATCCCCAAACCCAAAAACCATCCGTACCCCAAGCTAGCAGGAGAGGGAGATGAAGGCAATAATGAAATACAAAGAAAAGAAGTGTTAATGTACAGGCAGTCAGCAAAAAGTTATCCCAACACTCGCTTCCGCCTGGGAGTACAGGTGTGCCCCACCTCTGGCTTACAAGTGGTTTTCCCGTTCAGTTCCTCTGGGGGTCTTCTAGAGGTATGAGAAGGGGTTTGGGCGATGCCACTTCCTTTGGGTGCACTCAGAGGTGATAGAAAATGGAACAAATTCCCCACAGTTACTGCAGCGCAAACCGAATCTCCAGCAGAGCACGTCCCAGCGCACACCAGAGGAACTCCAAGGAGACCATGGCCCTATCTTCATAATTTACAGCAAACTAAACCTGATTTCAAGCTCTAAAGAAGGAACTGAACCTATCTTTTCCAGCTAGCTTCCTGAGCAGAAGCAGCAGTGAAAACATCATTTGGCCGGTGCTGAGGCACGGAGAGAGCTGGGAACAGACTGGCAGCCCCTCCTTGGCAAAGGGGGCATCCGCACAAGCTGTCAGCGAGGCCTCACCCTGTGCACGTGTTTAGTTGCCAGGAGTCTTTTTGCGAATGCGCAACTCAAAATCGCCCGTGAAACTGAGACCAGCAGAACTTTGTCAAGGGGAGCAGCCAGGGAAACTCCAGGCAAAGGGCTTCAAAAACCTCAACCTCGCTGGAACCAGTTCAGACAACTGACTCAGACTTGGAGAGGCCCAAACCACTTCTATTCTGGAGAGTTTTTGGGGCAGACTATGAGGTACTGTGGCATACCATCACCACCGTGAAGAAAAGGGCAGTGGTGCCAAGGTGGGTCCTAATTCTACTTTCTTTGGGATAAATTGTCAGAGAGCCTTTAACGCTGAGCAGCAGAGACTCCTCAAACATGCAAGCAATTTATTCTCTCCTCTCGTCTCCTCTCCGCTCCTCTCCTCTCCTCTCCTCTCCTCTCCTCTCCTCTCCTCTCCTCTCCGCTCCGCTCCGCTCCGCTCCGCTCCCGGGGCTGTAGGGCTCTGTGAGCCTGCAGAGCCTAGAAGCTGTGTAGCGGTGCCTTCCTCGCACTCTGTGTGACCACACAGTTCCTTTCACGCAGGTGGATCTTCTCGTGCTGGAGGAGGTGCTGCTTCTGCGTGAAGCGCTTTGGGCACTCGTTGCATTGGTATGGCCTCTCCCCTGTGTGGATCCTCTGATGACGGATCAGATTGGAGGGGTGGCTGAAGGTCTTCCCACAGTATGAGCACCAAAGGACCCCTCCGCTCCGACCTGAGTGCATACGCCGGTGGATGATGAGGGTTTTCTTTTGGGAGAAGCACTCCTGACACTTGTCGCACCTGTAAGGCCGCCCCCGTGGGTGGCTCCTCTGACTTGGCTTGCAGCTGCCGTTGGTGTTGACGCTTTTCACGCACCTCGGATTGCCGTACGCCTTGTCCGTGGCTGGGATGCTGGTGTGGGCTTTCGCATTCTGGTTCTGCTTGAAGCTCTCCGTGGCCACGCGGGTCCCGTCTTCCACGTGGGCCTGCTGGTGTTGCTGATGGAGGAAGCCCTCCTCTTCTCCAGCATGCTCGCTGCTGCACTGTGTGCCGTGGCCCTCCTGGTGAGTCATCAGCATCTTCTTCAGACAGAAGCCCTTCCCGCACGCAGTACACGAGTGAGGTCTCTTGTTGGGACAGTTCTGCCCATAGAATGTGACAGCGTTGCTTTCGCTGAGACTCTCTTCCCCCAGAGTGGATGGCACCAGCCTGCTCACGCTCTGGTTTCCCTGCTGCACAGAAGAGCTGTACTGACTATCAAAGGGCAGCGCCTCGCTGGGACCCTGGAAAACCAGCTCCTCTGACTCCCTGGTTAAAGTCGCGGCAGGGTCTGAGCTTTGGGGGCACTCCTCAGAGTCCAGCTGCTCTATTTTGAATGTTATCACCTCATCTGCTGGAACTAACAAGAACAACAAAGGGGGCATTCACTGATGAGACACAAAATGCTTCTGAACTCCCCCCCCCGCCGCCGCTCCTTCCCCCGCCACCCGGAATCAAACAGGCCCGTCTTACACAGGGAGCGTGAAAGGCAGCTGTGCTCACAGACCAACAGTGAGCTGAAAGACCGAAAAGACAGAATCCGAGTGAAAAGCACAGGAATGCTTCCCTTTCAGCTGGCTGAGCAGTGAGTGTGAGAAGCCGTGAGGGAGGCAGCAGAGGGAAGTGCTGCCTTCCCAAGACAGCAGAGTTCAGCAGTTTCCAAAGTAATCTCCAGCCATCTTCCTTCTCCTAAGCGCTAAGATCTCATGGGCCTGGGGCAGCCCTTTACTTCTCTGTCAGCATGGCTGGCTCCCTCCCCACACCAATGACTCGCTATTTCTCACTCTTCAGAAAGCACCAGCTCATTCCCCGAGATCCACCTTCCCTCTACTCCTAGGATGTAGTGACCCACCTGTGTAGCCCCCTTCTTTAAAGGGGACACATGAACACTGGCTGGTTTTGACTCGAGACATGCCTGCTACTGCTCAGGATACGTATGTAATGAGGAAGCCTCCTCCGTGGTCCTCACTGAGGCAGTACGAGTACGTTTTCTCTGAGGGTTCATTGCTTTTCATCTCCAAACTAGGTGCCTGGGGTTTTCTATTCACGCTTAACCTGTCTCAAACTTTCTCTTCTCTCTCATTCCTACCTGAACACTTAATTTTAATTGACCTGGATATGAATATGGCCCATTGGTGGAAAACCAACCAAAGGTCGAGGAAGGAAACTGCCAGCACGCGACCATTTTGAATGCTGTCAACAGTGTGAGGGCAGAATCTAAACAAGGATTGGTCTCCTGTCTGGAGAGCATCATTCCCCAGTTCACTAGCGCTGTGCAGTGACTGACAGCAGAGAGGTGACAACATGCAGAGGCTACAGAAGGGGTGTGAGAAAAAACATCTAAGATTTAGTCACAGCAGGGCAAACACCATCAAAAACTGAGCAAGCCCCACTGACGCCTCTGAGGTGGCACGAGGAGAATAAACAGAGACCAGGACTGAGGGTGAGGAAGTGACTGGTGAGCTGGGGGTGGTTCACTAACTGAGTAAATATTACATTGTTCTTGGGAATAACACAGCCATCCCAGCTCACCGGGAGCACAGCTCCCTCTTCTGAGGATGCAGCCACCAAGCAGAAGAAATTCTAGAAGAGCAGATTTGCCCTGGAGGACACGAGACAGGACCCACAAGAGGGAGCAGAGTGTTCTGGGCTGGGTGCTGAGAAACCCAGGGGCTGCAGGGAAGAGCCGAGCTCTGCATCAGCCACGGCCTTGCTGAACACTGGGGACGGCCTCCCTGCAGCAGGGTGGGAGCCGGAGGTGACATTCCATCTGGGAATTTGCCCAAACCCCTTCTAATCCCATTTTGTTTTCAGCCTTTGCTGTGCCCTGTGGCAGCAGGTTCTACAGCTTGCACATGTACAAGAACAGACTTTGCCCTGCTTGGTTTAAAGCGAACGCCTGCTCGTTTCACCGGGTGCTCCCTGGATCTTGGACGGTGAGAAAGAGCGAAGGTTCATTCCTTCAGCTCCTGCTGTGCCCTGCTCACCCAGCCACAGACCCGTGTTGCACCCCCTCGCTGCCACACCTTCCTCAGCTCAGTCGTCCTACTGCGTTCAGTCTCCTGATACGGACGCTCTCCACCTCGCTGCTCTGCTCTGGACCGCGTCTCTGCCTACTGCGTTCCTTTCAAGACTGAGTGAGCAGAACTTCACTCAGCTCCCCAGATACTTTGGCATAACATCATCTTCGGAGATGACCTTGAAGATTGTTCTTGACTTCTTTCCTAATGATGCCTTGTATTCTGTTTGATCTATTTTAGGGATGCCTGTCTCCTCACCTGCAGTGTCTTGTCTACCCGGCACTTTAATCTTCCACCAGTAAAATGATCTGTACGCTTTCTGCCTGCTTTCCTAACCTCAGCGTGGCTCTTGCTCTTTCCCCACTGCCCCGCCTGCCTCTCCTCAGTCCCCGCGTCTCGGCATATGCTGTCCCACAGCGGGAACGTCGGGGACTCCCCGCATCTCCAGCTGCACAGCACACTGTGGGGTTGCTCGGAACTCACCCACACTGAGCTCGGTAAACTCTGCGGCTCCCTGCTCCTCCGCACACAGTTCTTCCTCTTGCTTCACAACACCCACAAAGCTCGGCTCTGGAATGCCGTAGTCTGTTGATGTAAAAAGGAAACTTTACTGGTTATCACAGTACTGCTTGGCTGTCCCCTTGCCCAGGAGATTTGCTGCCAGCTACCCTGCTTTCATATACAGCCTCTCTCCAGCATCTCCCATTCCTACTTCTGGGAGCTTTACTCCACCCTGCAGAGAAGTGGTTTCCCCTTTACCCACCATTTCAGGAGTGTGTCCTCCCTGCCCGTGTGTCCAAGCACACCCGTTCGGAACGACACTCACCAGGTCCAGGTTCAGCCAGCATTGCTGTTCCCTCCAGGCCCTCCTGTCCCGTTGGGCACTGTGCTCCTTCGCTGCTGTCCTGGCTGTTCGCATCAAGTCTAAACAGCAGAGACTCTGCCAATGGGAAAGACCAAACCCGTAACGTTTTTTTTCTAACACTCTGTTACTCCCTCTGAACCTGCTCCTCCTGAGATCTGAGAAGTTCCCTCCATAGCAAGTGTCATGGTTTGACCCCAGCTGGCAACTGAGCACCACGCAGCCGCTCACCCTCCCCAGCGGTGGGACGGGGGAGAGAATCGGAAGGGCAAAAGTGAGAAAACTTGTGGGTTGAGATAAAAACAGTTTAATAAAGGAAATAAAATAACAACAACAATAATAATAGTAATAAATTGTAGTGAAAAGGAAAACAACAAAAAAGAGGAACAAAACCTAGCAAAAACAAGTGATGCAACCGCTCACCACCCACTGACCGATGCCCAGCCCGTCCCCGAGCAGCGATTGCTGCTCCCCGGCCAACCCCCCCAGTTTCTATACTGCCCATGACGCCGTATGGTATGGAATGGCCCTTGGGGCAGTTGGGATCAACTCTCCTGGCTGTGCCCCCTCCCAGCTTCTTGTGCCCCTGGCAGAGCATGGGAAGCTGGAAAGTCCTTGACTGGCATAAGCAGTGCTGAGCAACACTAAACCATCAGTGCGTTATCAACATTCTTCTCATCCTAAATCCAAAACACAGCACTATGCCAGCTGCTAGGAAGAAAATTAACTCTGTCCCAGCCGAAACCAGGACAGCAAGTCAGGACTATCACCTTGTGACATTCTCTCTCTGGTGACAACAACACACAAACATTACACATGAGAATAAAGTTTAATTAATCTCTTGCCTGCACTTGGTTCTGCTGGGATCTCTCTCGCGGCCGCCTCATCCCCATTGCAGGGCGCTTCTCCTCTCTGAAGCCGGGACAGGAGGTCAGGTTTGGAGATTGCGTAATCTGTTGAGGAACAGAGAGATACCAAGGTTGCCGTGCTGCATCAAAATGCCCGCCGTGTCCACGGGGAGGAACACACTCAGCTGCGCTCCCCCAACCGGCTCCATCGGCCACAACACACCGCTTGGCAGCGCGCAGAGCCCTCTGCACGGCCCACGGGGAGACGGCGGCTTCTGCCTGTGGCAGCCAACCCCACCCCAGTGGGGAAAACCACAGCGGGACGAGGGAAGGGGCGTGCGGACTGTGCCGGTGCCGGGCACCGCAGGGAGCGGGCTGTGACACGGGGGTGACTGCAGCCAGTGTCCACACCCGGCGAGCTGGAGACGGAGGGACTGGAGGTGATGCGCGCTGCGCTCTACGCTGCCCTCAGCAACGGGGACTGTCTACAAATCTGCTTGCCAGGTGTGGGAAAAAGCCCCCAAAATGGAGGTAGTTCAGAAGCGCCGCTGACTGACTGAAAAAGTGATGCTTACCCAGAGAGATCAGAGATTCGTTCTTCCCTCTCAGCATGTTTTTGTACAGCTCCCTCTGCCATTCCTCCAGATTCTCCCACTCTTGCACAGAAAAGTAAGCGGCGTTGCTTTCCAACGCTGGGGCCTGAAATCACAAAAGCGACAGACTCGGCACCGGGTCTGGAACCTGGAGCCCATGAATCATCCTTAGGAAACATCCTTAGGAAACACCCTCCTTTCTATTTATTGCTGCTGCTGTGTATCAAGTACTGAAAGGAGGGGAAAAAAAAAAAATCCTGCCCTGGGGCATTCTTGTGGCACAAAGAGAGAAACGACTCAGCTCTTCAGTTTAAAGGACTTTGTTCGCTTGCGCTCAGCTCATTCTCAGAGAACGAACCGCGCATTCCACAATATTCGCATTCCACAATATTCGCACGCACCCGCCCGCCCTGCAGAGCCTGATCCTGTCACGCCCTCGGTGTGAGGAAGAGCCCACCGTTTATCGCAAAATGCCGCGACCCGTCCTTTTGCAGCGAGATACGGCTGCACCTAACACACAGAGCTGAGCGATCGCTCCCGGCTCGACGCTTACGCATGGCAGGCGAGGAAAGCCATGACAAGAGACGGGGAGCGGGGCTCTCTCTGAACCTTTCAGGGCTCGCGGGAGATGGCTGCCGGGCGAAGGCGTGTGGGAGCTCGGCGGGGCAAAGCGGCCCCGGTCGCTGTGTGCGTGTGTTCCCCACCCAGAGCCATTTGTTACCTCGGGGACCTCGCCCCCGGGGGGCAGCCGGAGGATCCAGAAATTCCTGTTCTTCAGCAGGTTCTCCATGTTCTCCAGGCGCCGCTGGAGTTGCCCGT